TTAAAGTACAACTCTAAAACTCAGTTTTATGGTTTTGAGGCCTGCTGGTACTCAGATTTCAAGAACTCAGAGTTAGGGTATAGGATTTGGTAGCTCTCAGAGAGGCTGACTCCATCAACAGCTGTAAAATATATGTGCCATGTTGCGCATGGATAGTGTCACTGTTTGTACTTTTGATGTACATTGTTGAGGTCTATTTGAAGCCCTTTGTTACGGCTTAGAGTTTTTTAATAGTGATAAGACAATTGCTTAGACAACGAATAGAGTACTGAGTATTATTTATCTGTGATTTAAGTCAAGTTCTTTAACAAATTTAAAATTGGTTAAAGTACAAAAAACTATAAAAACACAAAAAACCATCATCTCTCTTTATTCTATATCGCATTCCTTCATCTCAAGACTGCACTCTTTTTGATGTTATTTCTAATCAAATTGTCCAAGTCCTCTCTCTTTATCTTTCAGCCAATATTGTTATTGTTGGTGACTTTAATGCCCATCACACTAAATGGCTTGGCTCTAGCGTCAATGACTCTGTAGGCGTTAAGGCCCAAAACGTTTGCCTTTTTCAATCTCTAATTCAAATAGTCAACTTTCCTACTCGTTTTCCAAACGATCCGAATCATTTTCCTTCTATATTTTCTGTCTTATTTCTGATCCTAGTTAGTGCTCTGTTTTTACAAATTCATCTTTCGGTGGTTCTGATCGCGGTTTGATCTCTCATAAATTATTATCTCATTCTTCTTCATCATCAGAAAACCCCCTATAATCTTGACTCTTACAACTACATTAAAGCTGACTGGGGCTCTTTCCATGATTTTCTTCGTGATGGCCCTTGGGTAGAAATCTTTCGTCTTCCTGTTGACAAATGTGCTTATTATGAAACTTCTTGGATCCAGGATGGCATGGGATTTTTTTTTTTTTTAATTTTCCGTTTTTGTTACAATTAAATTTCGTAATATAATACCAGGTACTCTTATTCTTTCAAAAATAAACCAGTTATAAATATAAAAAATCAAAGACAAAATAATGAGAGTTAGTTATACAAAAATAAATAAAAACGCGGGAAACTTGCAGAAGACCATTAAGTCTTATCATCGAGAACCGTTGTAATAATTATGTTCCTATAGTAGCGTTAAAAGCAAAACTTAATTAACTAAGGTAAATAGTGTTAAAACCAAAAACTTTTCAATGTAAAAAGACAAAAAGAAAAAAACAAACAAAAAAACAAAGCAGTTTAAAAGAAATCATTAATAAGATTTGTATACGTTGAAATATTCTTTTTTATTTGTTTTTGAATTTATATTGTTTACACCTGGTAAATTATTATATTTTGCTAAGATTTTATTCCAGATATGCGGAGCACGATACGTAATTTTAAATTGTTCTTGTTTAGTTTTGCCATGGAAGTATAAAACAGATGGAAGTTCATCGAGCCGCAAACATCAAAGCAATTTTAAGTCGTCTCGGGAGTATGCTTATAACCGACAATAAAAAAAAACAAGTTTCACTGGATAAAAAAAACAACAAAATTCACTGAAATGATCTTTATTAAAACATTAAAAAATTAATTATTCCTGGAATATGTTGCAAATTTTTAACCATTAGTAATTGCAATTATTCAACAAAAGGTTTATTAAAACTCGGTTATTAAATAGAACGACTTGATTTTAAAAGCATATATTAGTTTAAGCTTCTTTTCTTGCTTCAAGTCGTTATGAGTCGACATTTGATATGAAACGACATTTGATAAAAAAAGACAACTAAAACAATTTTTAAAAAATCAATAAAATTGTTTTCTAAGTAAATAAAGTTTAAAGTTTTATTAGCTGTATATGATAACTCTATTTTGTAGTATTCCATTCATTTAATATAAAGTTTATAAACGTTACGTTGCGCCATTTTTAATGTTTTTCTTGAATATTATTGGCGAACCTTAAAAATACTATATTTTTAAATTATTATAAACGTACCTATTTGCGTCAAAGTATAAAGATTAAGCGTTTAAGTACAGTCTTGATGTCGTTTTCTTATTGTTTACGAAACAAAAGGTTACAAGCAGTCCCGAAGAATTTCAATGCGGTTGAACTTCCATCTGTTTTTTACCTCCATGGATTTGCACAACGCATTGTTATTAACATTAAATATGTTAAAAATGCATGTTATTAACATTAAATATACTTTACGCACAACAGGCTTAATTGAACCATTGCAATGGTTCAATTATGCCTGTTGTGCGTAAAGTATATTTAATGTTAGGTTTTATTTCATAAAGATTATTAAAAATTGAGGGGCATTGTTGAAATTTACTTTTGTAAATGAGACATAAAATTTTATGAACGTTTATCTCGTAAAACGTAAAAATATTCATAATTTCGAACAGTGGTTTTGCATGTTCGTTTTTATTTTTAAAATTTATTATTCTTAAGGCATGTTTTTGTTTTCGGTAGAGTGTTTCAAGCTTGCTTTTAGATGTACTACACCACGCAATGTTCGCGTAATTCAAGTAACTTTGTATAAAACTGAAATAGATTTGTTTGAGATGATGCTTATTAAGTAAATCGCGTGACTGATATAGAACACCAATACTTTTTGATATTTTGCTGCCAATATAGGCAATATGTTTATTCCAGGTAATATTTTCGTCAGTGAAATATTACCTGGAATAAACATATTGCCTATATTGGCAGCAAAATATCAAAAAGTATTGGTGTTCTATATCAGTCACGCGATTTACTTAATAAGCATCATCTCAAACAAATCTATTTCAGTTTTATACAAAGTTACTTGAACATCAAGAAATTTTGTGACTCTTTCGCGACTAACTTCTTTGTTTTCAATAACTAGTTTTGGAAAAGAAATAGGAATTTTTTTTTAAAGGGTGGTATAGTGAGAACTTTGTTTTATTTGAATTAATAGAAATTTTATTTGCATTGAACCATAGTGAAATTTTATCTAACTCGTTGTTCATTTGTACGAAGAGTTTTATTTTCTCAAATAAAGTCCTGTAGTTTTTATATTCTGCCTTGGTCTTTATGTACTTATTTTTTAGATATCTATCGTACAGTCGATGTTTTCGCTTCGAAGCTTTTTTTAAACCTTTACTAAACCATGGCGAATTTAAGTTTTTAATTTTAATTGTTACTTCTTTCTCTGGAAAGTGTTTTTCATACAAGTTTAAAAAATTGTGATGGAAGTTATTAAACATGGAATTAGCATCTTTGAATGATTCTAATGGAGACCAGTCTATATTTCCTAGTTCATTTTGAAACGCTAATTGATAGTTTAATGATAGGAGGCGTTTAGTAAATGTGACTTTATTTTGTTTTTGTTTTTGTTTATTTGACGTATTTGCGGATATGAAAATTGGCATGTGATCTGAAATTGGTGCTTTAACTAGTTCTTTTTTTAACGAGTTTTCAAATAAAAAATTAGTTAATATATTGTCTATTAATGTTGCTGAATTTCTTGTTATTCGTGTTGGTCTGTTTATTAAAAGGATCACACCATATCTTTTATTATCTCTTGACAATTCCAAGTCAACCCTCACACTCCTCCATGGTTTTCCTCACATTGTGCTGCTGCAATTTACAATGGAAACCATTACTTCTATATCTATCAGCAAAACAATTCTCCAGAAAACAGACGTCTGTTTACTATTGCTAGAAACCATTGTAAAAATGTTTTGTTAAACGCCAAAGGCCGCTATTCTCAGGTCATGAAATCTCGTGTTTCAACTAAAAAATTAGGCTCTCAAGACTTATGGAGAATCTTTAACAAAATCAATAATAAAGATAAATCTGTTATTCTACCTCTCTTGTACGGTTCAGATATTGTCACCTCACCTAAAAACAAAGCTGAATTGTTTGCTAAGAACTTTTTATCAATATTATCTCTTGATTCCACTGGTTGAGTTCTACCTGATATAGGCGACTTACAGGTTGATCAATTGCATGATATTAGTAGTATCACTCCAGCTTCTGCATCAAAAGTGATTTCTTCCTTAGACTCTTCTGCAGCAAGTGCACAGTGGGCCATGGTGTGCCAAAAGTCAAAATTACTTTCATTCAATTTTTGTATAAAAAACTACTGTTCAATGAACGTAACATATTGATTTACATAAAAACATAAGGGTTGTTAATCAAAAAATGCGCCTTCACCAAATTGTTTTAATTTTAAGCCTGAACAATATTTTTGACGGTCAAGCGCTTTTCTAAAAAAGTTTTAAAAAATATTTTTTTAATATGTTTTGCCATTTCATATTAGGCAATTTATATTACTACGAGTTTGAATTGTAGTTTTAATACATATATTGGCTATCAATTGGCATTTATGTTTATCGTCTTGAACGTATTCGACTCTTTTTATGATCTATCAAAGATAGTGTGTTTAATGGTTGAAATAATTGCGTTTATTTTTTGCTAATACTATGCTTATAATTTTTCGGCCATGTTTGGCCAGGGTTTTTATAGCTGATATTTACTAAAAAAAATATATTTAATGAGTTAAAAACAGTTTTGGTTGCAGATACTTGCAGATGTAGAATATGTAACTAAAACATTACACATGATTTTATACCTTGACAACTGTCAATAAAACATTTTTTTTATGTTACTCTATATCATTGATTATACAAAAAATATATTATATAATATAATATAAACTTTATATATATATATATATATATATATATATATATATATATATATATATATATATATATATATATATATATATATATATATATATATATATGTATGTATGTATGTATGTATATAAATATATATACATATATATGTATGTATGTTTATATATATATATATATATATATATATATATATATATATATATATATATATATATATATATATATATATATATATATATATATATATATATATATATATATATATATATATATATATATATATATATATATATATATATATATATATATATATATATATATATATATATAGGTTAACTTTTCTATTTTCAGAATAAATAATAATATAACAATGAAGTACCATTATATATACAGTTATTATTATGCATTAGATCCAATAATATGTCTATACAAGATCCCACAATTTATGATCTATTAGTTGTCAAGTTAGACTTAAATGATTCTGAAATTATAAGAAATAAATTAATTGCCTTCTTAAAGAACTTGAAGACTTGTTGGAATGATGTTAGTCGCAAAGCTGCAGCTTTTGAGAAAAAGTATGCAAATTGGTTGGATACTGACTTTATATCTTCTGCATATGTTCCACCTGCTACTCCAACAATTGTTACCACTCCTCTTGAAAGGCCTACTTTGAATTTTGATGAGTCCTCTTTGAGATCTAAGTATAGAAAAGTTGCTGAAATGGATCAATACTCTGCTAGCCAACTATTATTTGCAACTAAAGTGAAATTTGGAAAAGATAATCAGCCTAAAAAAGCTAAATTAGCAGAAAAAGTGTTAGTTGATACTATATCCCCATCTTATGTCTAGTGATGAAGCTTTGGCCCTTATTTTAGATTGTAATTTAACAAAAGCATCTTATCAACTGATGAAAAACAAAGCTGATGAAAAGGAATGCAATCTCTACCCAGCATATAATAATGTTAGAATGGCAAAAGATCGATGCTATCCTAAAAATATATGTGTAACTGATTATACTGCTAGTGCTCCACTTCAAGATCTACTGGATCACACTACAACAAGACTTTTGGAGACACAGACTGGTGTTGTAAATGCAAATGATTATAATAGAGTAACTCTAATATACAAAGCTGGTTTTGATGGCTCAAGTGGGCATAGTATTTATCAACAAACATGTAATGATAATGAGTGTACTAGGAATCTGAAGAGTGAAGAATCTCTGTTTATTACATGCTTTGTACCTTTAGAACTCTCATCTATTGTTAATGATAAAAAGATTATTCTTTGGAGAAACTCTAAACCATCATCTACTTTGTACTGTCGACCTTTGCGATTTAAATTTGTAGAGGAAACTGCAGACCTTCTTCATAGTGAGGAATTGACATTAAAAAATGAGATCAAACAGCTAACTAAAACAAGCTATATCCTACTTAATGGTAAGCCTATTGATGTTGACAATGAAATTTAAATTACTATGACTTATGGAAAAGCCCATACTGCATTATCTGATGTAACTGACTCATCACAGTGTTGCTCTCTTTGTGGTGTTAAACCTAAAGAAATGAATGATATTTACAAGGTATATAGAAAATATTGTATATATAAACTAGTAGAAAATCACTCAACAAAATTTTTTTATTTAACACTGTTTTATCAATAAAGACTCATCAGAATTGCATCATTTCTGATGAGTCTTTATTAATAAAACACAGTGTTAAATGAAAAATTTTTGTAAAGCGATTTTCTAATTTAATTTATCATTGCTCTGTTCTTTTAAGAACATTATTACATTTTAAAATTTGTTTATATATATATATATATATATATATATATATATATATATATATATATATATATATATATATATATATATATATATATATATAATATATATATATATATATATATATATATATATATACATATATATACATATATATTTGTATACCTTTTTATATTTGATTAGTTTAAAATGCAGTTTTTATTTATTACAGGTGTTACTGAAGTTGCACACTCAAAATGGATTACAATATGGGATTTCAATTCTACATGCATGGATACAAACATTCGAATGCTCAATCCATATTGCTTACAAATTGCCAGTTAAAAAATAGTCAGCAAGATTGCCAGCTGACAAGCAACAAATCGAAATGCAAAAGAAAAAAATTCAACTTGCTTTTCAAGAGAAGATGGGATTGATTGTCGATAGGCCTAAGGCTGGCGGCTCAGGAACATCTAATGATGGCAACACCTCCAGAAGAGCCTTTCAGAATTAACAACAGTTTTCTGAAATCACAGGACTCAATTTTGAACTTATAAAAATGTTCCATGTTGTTCTGACTTGTATTTCATGTGGTTTTGAGCTTGATGCAGTTTTATTCAGGGAATACTGTACACATACAGCTAGGTTTTACGTGGAGTGCTATCCATAGTATTATATGCCGCAGAGCATTCACAAAATGCTAATTCATGCTCCCAGTGTTGTTGATTACATGACATTACCAATTGGGCTCTTAAGTGAAGAAGCTATAGAGGCTCGGAATAAAGATTTTAAAAAGTATCGTGAGCATTTTACATGCAAGTGTGACCGTATCAAATGTAATGAGGATTTATTTAAGCGATTATTTTGTTCTAGTGATCCAGTCATTTCTTCACTAAGAACAATAGTTAGTACTTAGAAGAAGGTTTTGCCAGAAGGTGTTCTGCAACTGTTAAAAAACAGTGTTAAGTTGTTCTTTTTATGGAATTTTACAGGCTAATTTTTGGTTTCTTTAGTTATTATTAAAATTTAAGTTTATGCATTGTAAATTAAAATTGTTAATATTCTATAATTAACATAAATTAAAAATTTCCCACACCAGAGCATTAAAAATCCTATTTTTTTATTAATTTGCAGTAAATAAGTCAAGAATTTGTATAAAATTGACTGTCATTATAAAAATATATAAGATGTTGCTATGCATAATAAGGTATCCATAGCAACCAAACTAAATATCATAATATAAAACGCATACTTCGTATTGGTACTCTTACCAAATTTAGTGTGTATGACACACAAAAACAACTACAAGTAGGTTTAGGCTACGCCAAAATAAGTATCCATAGCAACCAAATAAAAAAAAAACACCTTTATAAGAAGTGCAGACCTTACACTGGTGCTCATGCAAAATTTAGTGTATATAGCATACAACAATTCTGCAACTACAAAAAGTAGGTCGTTGCTATGCAAAATTTCGGTATATATAGCAACTAAATAAAAAATAACATTTTAATAGGAGGCGCAGACCTTACACTGGTGCTCATGCCAAATTTAGTGTATATAGCACACATAACAAATCTGCAACTACAAAAAGTAGATTGTTGCTATGCAAAAAAAAAAGTTATCCATAGCAACTAAATAAAAAACAACACCTTCATAAGAAGGTCTGACCTTATATTGGTACTCATGCCAAATATAGTAAATGTAGCACTAATATTGAATTAGTTATTAATTTTGTCTCAAAATTGACCATTCTGGCCCACTGTATAGTGGTCCGGACAATCTACCTGTTATAGTTTTTCAGAAGTGTTTCTGGAACTGCCGTCTATACTTTAAACAAGTGCCTATCAGAGTCTTGTTTTCTAACGGGTTGAAAAACGGCATCTGTTATCCCTAATTTCAAAAATTCTGGAGAGCGATCTGACTCGTCTAACGACCTTCCCATTAGTCTTCTTACTATCATAAGCAAAATTTTTGAATTTTTAATTAAGATTATTTTTAATATACCTAATCTCTCATCTTGAATCTAATAACTTATTTTCTGATCATTAACAAGGATTTGCTAACAGTAACACCTGATAGGTTTTATCGAACATTAGATAGAGGAGAGGTTAAGGCTATCGCCCTTAACATTTCTAAAGCTTTTGATAAAGTTTGGCATGTTGGCCTTCTCCGTAAGCTTTCTACTTACGGTTTACCATGTAACATCTTTGAGATTGTTGAATCCTTCCTTTCAAATCATAGTATAAAATTTGTCCTCAAGGGACAGCATGGAGCTCACAGTGGCTGGTGAACTTTAGCTCAGATAAAACTCAATCTTATTTTTGATTTTTACTTCCGATCTATTATGGAAACCATACATCAAATCTACTAAGGTTGCAACTTTTTTTTGTGCTCGACGCTTTCTTACTTTGGATTCTATTTTTTGTCTCTATAAATTTCAAATCCGTCCTTGTCCGGAATACTGTTGCCATATCTGGGGCAGATCTTTCAATGATGCCCTTTCTCTTTTAGACATGGTGCAAAAACGCATTGTAAACATAGTTGGACCTGTTCTTGCAACCAACCTCCGACCATTATCACATTGTCATAATGTTGCTTCTCTTTCTCTTTTCTAAAAATTATATAATGGATACTGCTCTAAAGAGCTAGCGTCTCTTGTGCCATCAACTAAAGTTCACTCTCGTATTTCTCGTCAATCACTTAAGTCTCATCCTTTTTCTGTGACTGTTTCTAAGTACTCCAAAAACTCTTATTCGTCTAGTTTTTTTCTGTGTTTGCCTTGTACTTCCCTCCTATCCTGCTGTCTAAATCAATTATTCTGTTTTTAGGGTTAACATTTGTCCTCCTTTTTCTATAGGAGAGTTTGCTAAACTACATGACAGTCTGTCATACTAGAATTTAATCACGGTGGCAAACTTAAAAATTAAGAACTAAATATAATTGACAAACTAGGAGCTCTTTTTTTATTATTCATATATTTGCCGTACATATAACATTTACAAGTTTCGTAATTTTTTTTTTTTTTTTTTTTTTTTTTTTTTTCTTTTAAAAGTAATATTTACAAGTCTCGTGAGTCAAAATATATAGTGGAATTTATAATTAAATAGTACAGGCCGGACTTCAAGAAGATCGTAATGATCTTATCACGAAGCCCTTACAATGTGTTTGATATATTATTATGATTATGTTAAATATAATTTTATATTAAGTACAACTATGTTTATATATTCTTTAAATTTAGCTCATAATAAAAAATAAACTCAAAATAAGCTCTATATAAAATATCAGACATAACTAGCAGCATAATAACTAAACTTGATATGAAAAAATCAAGTGTTTTTTTTGTGTGTAATAAACAATTTTTGATATATTGTTTGAGAAAGGTAAGAGTCATTTAGATAATACACATAAACGAGTCAGTTCACTTTGTAGTTGATATATATGTATTTTAATTTATAGTCTTAGAAGAATTCTGAGTATCTGTTTAGATTCAGTATCAGATTTTTTAACTTTTTTTTCAAGAAATTTTGATTGCAAATTGAATCTAGATTGCAAATTGATTTATTTTTAGTTACTAGTTTGTTGTATAAATAAGGACCCCGATATGAAATTGAGAACTGGGAAAATTTTGTTTTTTTGAAAGGTGTAATAAAGTTTCCTTTTTCACTTGTGTTATATTTATTAACGTTATTTATAAAAAAGTTATTTAAAAAATGGTTTGGTACTTGACCTAATTTAAATTTTAGCATAAACAGTATATTTTGGTAAATATTAATTTGATAAATATTAAGCACATTCATTTCGTTAAATAAGGGTTCAGTGTGTGTAAATTTGTCTTTATGGTAGATTAGTCTAACAGCATGTTTCTGACGTCGATTTAAAGTTTTCAATTTGGTTATATGCGTACTCGCCCAAGCTATATTCGCATATATGAGGTAGCTATGTATAAAAGACAAATATATAAGTTTTAAATTACTTTGCGACAGCATAGGTTTTGCTTTATAAAGTAGACCTATGTTTTTTGATATTTTAGTGTTTAAAGCATTTATGTGACTTTTCCAAGATAAATTTTCATCAATTATAACTCCTAAAAATTTAGTTTCGTGAGTTCTCTCAGTTACTATATCTTCTATTTTTAGAGAGGGTAGAATATTTGGTAGTGTGTTTCTTTGTTGGTTTGAGTGAAATAAAGTGTATTTTGTTTTTTCTATGTTTAGGGATAACTTATTTGTTTTAAACCATATATTTAATTTTTGGAGTTCTATGTTTACATTATCATACAGATCCTTGATGTTTGTCGAAGAGTAAAATAAATTTGTATCGTCTGCAAACATTATAAATTCAAGTTTGCTAGAAACTTTTGGAAGGTCGTTTATATAGATTAGGAACAAAAGAGGAGCAAGAATCGAACCTTGAGGAACACCACAAGTTAATTTTAATAATTTACTGTGGTAATTATCATCTGTAATAACACACTGTTGTCTGTTATACAAAAAGCTTTTGAAAAAACAAGAGAAAAGCTTTGCGTCTTTAACAGCTGCGAACTTAAAAATGTTCACTGAGAGACTTGACGAAAAAGAAAATATAAATAACCTAATAAAAATAAATAAATTCGAAAATGATTTAAAACAAACAAATAAAAAAGTTGTCTCCTTAGAAAATGATTTACTTGAAATTAAAAAATTTATTCAAACCAATGACGATATTGCTTCAGAAAAGTTTGAACTTGTGAAATCAAAAACAAAAGAGATAAGTTCAAGGCTAAAAGACAACAGCGAGATATTAAAAGTAAAAAGTAAACTTAGAGAAATAGAAGATAGATCCAGAAGAAACAACCTGAGAGTCGATGGTTTAAAGGAAAGCAAAAATGAAAGTTGGAGTGATAGTGAGGCTAAAGTGTTAAAATTATTTGAAGAAACTCTTGGGTTGAAAGATATAAAAATAGAAAGGGCACATAGAACTGGTTCTAGAGACAGTAAAAAAGTCAGATCCATAGTTTTGAAATTGCTCAATTATAAAGACAAGGAAAACATTCTAAAAAACTCTCGGAAATTGAAAGGGGAAAATATTTATATCAATGAGGATTATTGCGCGGAGACGATGCTAATTAGAAAAGAATTACGGGCGGGCATGAAAAAAGCACGAGAAGCTGGAATGTTTGCGTATATTTCATACGACAAGTTGGTGGTTCGCGAATGGTCTCGAAAACCCACGTAAATATTTTATATTTCTTTTAACGTTACTTTATTTTTATTTTTTATTTATCAATAGTTTTTCAAATTTTAATTTAACTTTTAGAAATGGAGAACAATCTCTCTTATAATATTAATGCTAAAAATATTGTTTTTAGCGATAATAACTCTGATAATCATACTGAAACCTTATTACAAAGTGAGTACTATTCAATACCTGAATCTACTCAATATCTCTGTGAGAATAAGAATAAATTTTCAATATTGCATATTAATATTCGAAGTATGAATAAAAACTTCGAGAACTTTAAGTGTTTATTGGGAGAACTTAATCATGATTTTAAAATAATTTGTTTCACAGAAACTTGGCTTAAAAGCAATGAAACAAATTCTAATTTTGAGTTAAGAAACTATACATCAGTTCATCAAATGCGCGATATTTGCGTTGGTGGTGGTATAAGCATATACGTTCACAATTCTATTGATTTTATTCAACGTAAAGATCTTAATGTAAACAATACAGATTGTGAGGCATTATGCGTCGAGATAATAAATAAATTAGCTAAAAATTTCATAATCAATGCTATTTATAGAACACCAGCTGGTAGTTTAAAAACATTCAAAGCTTATCTGCGCACATTCCTAACCACAAAAAATATATTGCAAAAGCATGTTTACGTAGTTGGGGATATCAACATTGACTTACTCAACCATGCCTTAAATAGTGAAGCAAAAACTTTTATTGATATTCTTCTCGAATACAACCTTATCCCAACTATAAACAAAGCAACAAGAGTAACTAAAAAATCATC